CACTTTGTTAATGGATAACTAAAAACATTGATATTTAGTGTTTCCAATAGTGTTAACACGAGTTGAGAGGAAATGTGTGTTTTAATTGCCTATCATCTCAAACAAACAGATCATTGAATCCGTGAAAATGATAAATCAAACAAAATTTCCCTCAAAAAAAAATCTGAAATAAAAATTTTAGATTAGATGCGAGCGACCATTGAATCAACACTTGGTTTTTCACCACAACTTGTATAGTCACTTGAAATACTATATTTAAAAAGTGTGGAAAATTTGTTAATTAATTACAAAATTATTTTCTAATATCAAATGTTTTTAAAATGTATTTGAAAAAAATCATTGCATTTTGTATATGTGTGTGTAGTTTGTAATGCAATGCGAAACTGACCCAAATTGCAATCAATCGTCACTACATTCATAGGTAATTATAATTAAAATGATTTTCAATTCACTTTTTCTCATATGTTTTTGGTGTTAATACCATATATTAATTGAATTAATTTTTACTTGTGTTAACCATTATTGATAATATCTGTTGTTTTGCGTTATAAACACATCTATTGGTGTATTGAATGTTATTTGAATAAATAATTGGTTTAAAGAGATAGTAGGAAATGTAAGTGAATCTATATTTTTATGGCTATTTGTATTGATTTTTATGTACACATGTATTGTGTACCGAGTTGTGGTCTTAATACTATTCAATACATAACATTATTCAATTGACTTAATTAGGTATTAATTTATAGAGAAAAATAAATGCGAAAATATTGAACTTATGTTTCCCATGTCATTATAATATCTGAATATTTTATTTATGCTAAAATATAATACTTTATGATACCGTGCTTAAGAGTCTTATACAGTATATTTATAGAGAAAAATAAATGCGAAAATATTGAACTTATGTTTCCCATGTCATTATAATATCTGAATATTTTATTTATGCTAAAATATAATACTTTATGATACCGTGCTTAAGAGTCTTATACAGTACTACAGTGAGTTAAACTTTTTAAATACTGTACTGTATTTTATATCCCATTGTGATTGATACTAATACTGTATTGAAGTATTTTTTGATATTCAAAATTTGTTTCATTTAATGTTTCAAACTAGTAGTCAATTATTAATTAAATTGTTATAAAATCTAAACTATTGCAAATGCAAATACTGGGTTACGGTATGTGTATGTCATATAAGTGTCAGAAACATACACCTCTTGATATAAATTAATAGTATTTGAGATATTAATATCAATTTGCAGTCATATCTCGCTGTGAATGTCGTCACGAATAGTGTGATAAAAATAAAATTACAATTATTTTTAGACATTAAACCTCAAGAGTCAATAAAAACTTACCACTACTCAAAAGTAACTCATAGTATATAAGTATCTAGCTGCTAAATAACTCACTTTCCAATTATACACACAGAAGTCCATAATGTCTGCCAATATTATCCCCACAACTGTGGCCAACAAAGTGAACAAAACTAATGTTTTCGACGTAAAACTGGTGACCATTTGCGGCAAACAAGTTGAGGTGACCTACGAGACCACCCACAGGAGGGTCGACATCTACGGCCTGCA